TCGTACAACGTTATATTACACAACCGATGGATTGACCTGGTTGCAGCAGTTTGGATGTAATATTCAACAACTTTTTTTTCTGTGTACAATATGGGTATTTTCAGAATGGGGACAACGTGTGAATGCCAAAAATCGATATCCGATGCCATTTTGGAATCCAATATGGTGGCCATCGGGTTTCACAAAAAGTGTCAAATACCCTAAGATCTGGAAATTTCGGAACGAGGACGACGCGTAGATGCTGAAAATCGATATTCAATTCAATTTTTAGGCTATTTGACACTTCTTCTGAAATCGGCAGCCACCATCTTGAATTTCCAAAAAACCAACATTGATCGGTATTCGACTGGGATTGAACCCAGGCTTGGTGGGGTGAGAGGTAATCACGCTTACCACTACACCACCGGCGCCGTTGTTTTTTTTTTTCCACCAAGTTATTAATAATTAATTGCTAATGAAGTTTATGATTGATTTTCAGAATAGTTTTATGGAGGGATTGAGAACTGCTTTAAATTTATTTGTAAAACAATAAAGATTTTGACTTTCTCGACAGACTATAAAAGGTTTTTAAAACAACAATAAACTGAATTATTAACCAGGAAGATTTGACATTTTGAAATGCTGTATTTAAACTAAATGGATTGTTCATTTCCGTTATAAAACCATCATAAATCATAGTAGCTGCTGAATTGTTACTTGGGTGTTTGGAAGGGAAGTAAAGTTAGTCCCCGATCCATGAGTTGATGTGTCGATAGGTAGGGCCCAGGTGTGGGAGCTGCCTACCTTGCGTCGGTAGCATTGGTGCTCAGCACGGAAAACAAGATCGACGGAAAACAAATTAAAGGAAAAATAAGGTCCTAAGTATACGTCAAATTTAATTAATACATTTGATAGTCAACTGACAATATCTCTGAACAAAATGGAAAATATCAAATATCTACAATTAAATTTAGATTTTCAAGTATTTTTTTTATGATTTGAGAATGCAACTTCTGGATCTAAAAAAGTTCATCACAGTCGGGATCTTGATAGGTTAGAAATGTTGTAACATTTGAATGCTTATGAATATTGTAAATTTGCACAAATTTTCAAATTTTGAGTTGGCTTTGTATGCTGATCATTTTTCATTTTTCATATTTCCCAACCCAAGCGTTGAAATACTAGTGGTAAACACACGAGCCCTGTAATCTCAACGTCCATGGTTCGGTTCCAGTTGGCTCCGTTTTACCAACCGGTTGAAACTAACGATTTTAAATTGGCTCACCACTTGACTAGCCTATTGGTCCCAAGCAAATCGATTAACGTATCTCATTCTAGTCGAAATTCTAGTACTACGCTTTGTTTGTTTTGGTTCGCTAAAATGAGGATTTTCCTATGTTTCTTGGGACTGAAAAGAGTACCAGAGCTGAGCCAAAAAGCTGAGCACGTTTCTTCGGGACCTTCTGGTCTTAGAGTCACCTCTATGGTTTTACTTTAAAACACTGGAATAAGAGACCAGCGGAGAAAAAAAACATGAATTTGGAAACAAGATAGACATCAAAGTAATCCTGGCATCACTTGCATTTGTAACTGCTTGCCAGTGACTTCGCCAATGCACCGACGAGCGAGTTCATGAGTTAAACGATGTTAATACTCCTCCCTAATTGAAGCAAACCATTTGTAAACATTACAGATTGGAACCGCTTTTGACAGTTCGATTGGAATCAAAACAGTGTCTCCGCTGATCTCTTATTCCAGTGTTTCTAGTTTTACTATGTTTTTGTCAAAAAAATATCATTATAGCATCCAATTCTGCAACATATTTTTTATAGTGAAGTGAGCCAAAGCAAGACTGGACAGTACCAGCATGAAAGTTGTTTACCACCCCTGCTGGGCATGCTAAATTTCTCAGTTGCGGCCACTGAAACCGATATCCGAAACAATCGCTACAGGTCACTGACCTCATTAGAGTCGATCTTAAGGACGAATATTGACAGCATCTGCCTATATGCATCAAGTTGATGTAACTTGATGTGTCGCATGCTCAGTACCACGATAAAGTCAGTTGTGATCACCGAATCTGGTATCCGGGACATCCAGGTTTAGTCAATTTGATGATTCTTGATGATTATTTATTTGAGAATGTCGATTGTGGCATCCGATTTAGCGCTACTTCGTCGTAATCGTCCATTTCCGTTCTATCGAGCAGAAAACATCAATATAATCAATTATTTTACCATGCACAAATCAGTAATACGTTTGTACTGATGCGTAAGTTCACAAGCTACAACCCAAAACTACCTCTACCTTCAGTCGTAGGACGATGAAAATCCAATGGCGTTTCAATGCTATATGACGGAATTGAAACTCGTAGGACGAATTTGGAATCAAGAAGCAGTGTTAGATTTTTTAACAATATCTCAACAATGTATGGCTCTTTATCAAATTCAACGGAACTTATGGAAAGGGGAATAAATTTAGAAGTCATCTTTGATAGAAACATTAAATTTATTGTTAAAACCCGTTCAAGAAAGAGATGTAAAGCGTGGGTGGTGCTTAGTAGACAAAAATTAGATCAAAAACCCTAGGTCACATAACGCAAAAAATAATAAATTGTCATCAGAAAGGTATCGGTTTAACTATGTTGATGCATCTATGTTCCACTTATTGAAATATTTGACGAGTTACCACATATTGCCACTATGGCCAAACTTGGCATCGATTCCTTGAATCCTCAAATCTCCCTCCTAATCGATCGTTTTTGGCAATAATGTAGCACACTAGTCAGCACACTTGCCTTTAAAATCGGGCGTAAATCCTTTTTCGGGATTGCCCCAAATGATCTTAAAAGATCTAGAGTTTCTATAGTAAAGCATAGTAATAAGACGATGTCTTTTCTTTAATCTATGCACTTGCACTGTCTTGAATAAACACGGTAATTAACTGAGACTGTAAGCTGCTTTTACGGAATTCGAAACAACACATTTCCATTCCCAACCATCTACGCAAATATCTACAAAACAGAAAAAAAAATAAAAAAAGACGAATCATGAGATCCAAAGTAGGTCAACTCTTCGGGCAATTACAGGCAGCCCTTTAATCGCGTCGGAACAATCAAAGCACTGACTGCCACTCTCGTGTCTAATCATGGCCATTGGAAATAGTGTTCCGTTCGAGTAAATCGTAAGATGTGCGTAGGTAAGCAGTAGGGTAAAAATTTACTTCGACCTAATAGTCCAATTTCGGCCAATCGAGCAGAAAACATCACATGATTACGGCGTTTAACATGTAACCGTCGTTGAACGTTCTCTGTAAGAACTCCTGCAAACGCAGTGGCTTATGTGCCACTCTCGATAACGAGAAACCACTGGTCGTTTTTAATAAGGTCGTCCGACTTAACTGCTAGAAGCATGAGCGAAATTCAATTATATGATTGGTACGATACTTTAGTTAAACAGCTACAACAAAAAGTATTGAAGAGCGCAAACCAAACCCAATACACCGCTTTGCACTATTTTGAAGTGTAATTGTACCATATATCATCGGAAAAGCTGCTGTAGAAAGGTTAATAAGTACCATGAAATCAGCTGAAATGTTCAGTAAATCATTGTGTGCATTTTTGAATTTTTACTGAACATTTCAGCTGATTTCATGGTTCTTATTAACCTTTCTACAGCAGCTTTTCCGATGATATATGGTACAATTACACTTCAAAATGGTGCAAAGCGGTGCATACTAAGAAGCATTTTCAAATGCTTAATGTACAGTTTTCTCTATTTTAGGGAGCGTACTTTTAATTTTACTGAGCGTTTTAAGATTTTTAACGTATTTTGATCAATCATTTAAGGAGCACCTTACTTATTAAGGATAATTTCATCTGTTTTATTGAGCAAAAGTAGGGCTGCCGGTCTTGAATGGTAAATAAATTTGGAAGTAATGTATAGTAGAAACATTCAATTTTGTGTTAAAATCCACTCGAAAACTTCGGGAAGTACTTAGTAGGCCCAAAATAAGATCTACACCCTACGTATGTAATTTAGTTCCAAGAAATTCCAACACCATGTTCGATTTGGAACTGCAATCAGCGTGCAACTTTCCAACACCAAACTCGTTGCTCGCTACTAATAACTGCTACAGCTATTCTTCAAATCGATCTTAAGAGAAGCCTCCAGGCAAAACTGAGTACAGTATTCGCCTTCTGTGAACATATGTTCAATTACGGCTGCGATGATGGCGGTGTACAATTGTAGCTACATTTCAGTTTCACACTTTTGCACTTTTACTTCATTCCCACAAACTGGTTACAAGTACACACGACTCATCCATCACACGACGCCAGAAATTTGATCTTTGCTAATATTTCACGTCACTTAAACAACAAGCAATCACTACACTTGTTGGTCAGCTGAAATGTTGGCGTTTCCGCGAAAAAAAACAGGAACATCAATTGGATTGCCCGTTTCGGGTGACCACTTTTTCGCTATTTGTCACTGATAGCACCTGCAATTAGCTTTCGGTCGATAGAAGAAGTATAATTTTCAATTGGTATTCGCTATCAACCGACGGTCAATAGATAAGCTATCTTGCAGCAATTGATGATGGCACGATGATGAAGGTTGGATACTTGAGACACTTGAGCGGAAAACAAGTAGACTTTTCAGACAAATAATGCATTCTTCTTCGTCAGCAGTATCACAGTACACATAGCAATCCTGGCGGTGCTTGCAGTTCTTCAAATTCGAGCATCTAATGTCACACATTTTGTCTGCAAGCCAACCATGACTGCCTTGTACTCCGTTCACCAATCTTCACTTTCTGTAAACTATAGCAAGCTGCAATTCTCTTCACTGCACTAAACAATAAATATTTAGCACCAACACAACGGCCTGCGCTCCATGCTAAACACCTTCACATTTTTTGGCCAATTTAGCAAACCACCAAAAGACAATTAAAAACGATCATCATCGGCAGCACTTCAAAGAGACAGGTTCAATCCACACCGTAATTTAGAAGAGAAGTACCGAAAGAAACGTTGCGTCGTCGGCAGCAGCAAATTCCGCGTCTACATTCCACTCGTCCCGATCTACGACTAGTTTAGCTGGTGAGTTCACCAGGCCAGATGTACAGCCTTAAGCTCCACAGTAACCCATACAGCTGGAGTCGGGCATTCAGGTGTAATAATACCAACGTAGGTACGTGAATGCGATCATTAATTGATAGTAGTGCGCGAGAACGAACGAACGAACGGTCGAAAAAGCGTGGGTAAGGTAATGAAGGGGGTTCGATGCAATGAAAGACCGGTGTTTGGCCAAGAAAGATTGCACGACCACATGGAACACGAGCGTGCGATGTTAAGCTGTACGGTGATGCTTGATATAAAAAGCTCATGAAACCGAAAGCTTCAAGTTAAATTGAAAATACCGTAAAACAGGGGCAATTTGGTTATCAATTTGTTCTTCTGCTAAAAAAAATCTTCTAATTGCAATGATAGGAAAATTGTGTACATCACTGAGTTTTGTGTGTGTGTAATTCGGTTAATAGAAGTCACATTGGCCAAACACGGCTACGTTTCGAGAACTTTGAGGGCAGTCACCTCCAAACGCTGTAAAAATCAAAATAATTCATGTCCTAGCTGATTTTTAATGAGTCGTACTTAAATTAAGTAGCGTTTGTTTCGATGATTTTAACGCCACCCCCTCCATCCTAGTTGAAAACGGTTACCTGTTGAAATCACCGAGAGAAGTCATTGTTTCCAAAAGCTGTTACGCCCTAATACCAGCGCTATCTATTATTCAGACATGTAACGAAAAAACCCAAACACGGACGTAACGAAAGAGCGCAAACCGAACACACGACAGGGAGGAAAAAAGCAGCGGTAATAAAAGTATAAGGGTCTGTGCCTAGGGGCACGAACGGAAGCTTGACGTAGGACCGCTAGTGGGCGGAATAAATGTGAAGAGCATTTAGTTCTTTTAATTGATCAATTATCTATTATCTCAACTCTTTCCGTTTTTGAATTGTAGGCGTACCAAATTTGTAGTAATCTTTTTCAAAGAGAAAGTTGATTAAGAGAATCAATCAAAATCACTTGCACCCCTGCTTCCAAGTTTGGTTACAAGATTACAACTCTGGAGGGCATTTTGTGTGGTCGTTGGATATAAACAGATATAAAACAGCAAAAAAGGTTATCTTCCATTTAATTCCACTTAATTAATTTTGGTATCCATGACAGATACGTATTTCGACTACAATGTGCAGTCTTCATCAGTGTCATTCCCACTAAAGAATACAGGTTAAAGCAGAATGATGTGCAACCAAGTGGTATAAAAGCTACAAAGACTCCTCCCATTATGAGTAGTTTGCTATCAAGTAGCGACACTGGCTCTTTTCTTTTTGCGTACACGGCGAATGAGAAAGACCCAAATTTGAGTTTAGTTCACTCATAATCGCCAAAAATGCAGGAACTCAGCGATGAGTAAATTTGTCTCATGGTTTCCTGTGGAAAACCTAAAAAATCTGCCAGAAAATGAGGAAATTAACGAAAATTTTATTCAGTCTCGAAGTAGTACCAATAGACTGAGTGGATCCAATCTTTACTTTTCTCAAATCTGGAAAAACATGAGGCAAATTTACTCATCGCTGAGCTCCTGCACTTTATTTCTTATTTCTGAGATAACTAACCTCAAATTTGGGTCGTTCTCATTCGCCGTGATATCACCTTGAAAGATATCGACGCTGGTGATTAGCGTGATTACCTCTCATCCCAGCAGGCCTGGGTCCAATCTCAGTCGGCGCCACCGGCATGTTCTAAGGCATAACATCTCTGATCACGCCTTCCTTCGGGAAGTAAAGCCGTTGGTTCCCGGTTGAGTTGATGGGTGGATTGGTAGGGTCCAGGTGTGGGAGCTGCCTCCCTGGCGTCGGTAGCATTGGAGCTCAGTACGGAAAACAAATCTCGCGTCACTTTTCAATAGGTTCTATCTACATTGATCGATTCTCTTCATCGACACTCTCTTTCGTATTATTATTATTATTTAGCTTTATTTAGGAGGCTTTCAGCCTTAGGCTGGTTCGCCTCCACCTTTCGTAAATAACTCGGCTTCACAAATGTTTCCTGCCGTCTTCGTCGAATTAGATGCTAGATTGTTGCTTCTTCCATCGAAAATATCCGGTCGTGGCGATTCAAAGTTGATCAAGGTTGATCAAAATAATTTGTACCCCTGCTTCCAGTTTGATTACATGAGCATTTTGTGTGAACGTTGGTTCTGAACTTGGTGGCCCTGAAAAGAGCCGTTTTGTTGCCAAAGTTGGTGATGATTTAACCTCCGAAACCAAACAGAGTGCGTCTCTGTCACTTCAAAACGTAGATGACATCCATGGCCGCTTACGCGTGGCGTGTTTAGTGTAGGTGACAGCATCATGGATCTCATTTTTCAGGAACACCTTCAGCACACCTCGTAAATCAGACCGGAGATACGTCAGACACCGCCACGGTGAGCCAGACGACGGATGGTGGTTATCTTGAAGAATTTGTTGGTTCTGAATATGGCGATGAGTGTGCAAAATATTACGCAATTCCATCCTCCCTATTCGTACGCGCCCGAGGATCGGAGGCAAATGCCACTTCGACTTGTTTCGTCTACATACTACTCTCTGACGACTGTGCTGGGGAAGCAGCATATGCATATATGTAATTGGTGGATTTGTTATTTAATTCGACGCGTTTGGACAATGCTGGACATTTACCAGTTTTTCAATAGTTTCTTGTTGAAAATCAACATTCGGGAAATACCAGCTGGCGATTTGTTTTTTGATGATAACTGCTTACTTGAAAACAGGCAAAAACTCACAAACAGGCTGCTTTATCATGGTATACAGTGTGATAATTCAATAATCAATAAATTATCTCAACATTTAGTGGCAAACCATTCATAAATTTTGGTAACATACAAAAAATTCTATAAACCACATTAAATTTCATATGTAAGCGCCGATTAAAACAATCTTTTCGACGTCACTACAAGGGTGATTGATTAAACGAAAGAAATGAATCGTACGGAATGAAAGTCGAGGAAAAACTAATTGCACCAATATATTCAGGCCTACAATTCCACACCTTCTATAGACAGGTTGAGCCTTGATAGCTAGCTGCTTGCGGGAACTGATGACTTTGACCAATGTCCAAATAATACTCTTTAATAAATTTTTGATGACCCTGAAAAGGACCGTTTTGTAGTGATGGTTGAGTAATTCTGAGCTGGGTGTGCAACACGGATGACGCTGTTGAACTGTATATCGTTTGGAGCGAGGGTGACACGCTTGGCATAGATGACCGATCCGCAGTGACTCACGAAGAGCTACTGATTCCGATCCATAGCATAGCGGTGCAGCTTCTTCCTCCTTTGATGGTTGCTTATGTGGGCTCTGCAGCTCGTCTTTCGTTGTTAATGGAGAACAATTTTCAACGCCACACGCCGAAAGAACTGCTACTGCTGCTATTGCTGCTACCAATTTCGACGACGATGTAAATAGTACTTATAAGTAGTCTCCTTTTTCCAATTCAAATCAAAACAATCGCACCAAGGTGGTCATACTTTAAAACAGGCCTGATAGGACTAGGAACTGTGAATAATAATTAAAATGTCAAATGTACTAAAGTTGAAAAGACGCATCTGTGTCACTTGAAAATTCATACATGTAAACCACACAATTATTATATATATATAATATTATTATTATTATTATTCATCGGACAAACCACGGTCTACATGAATTAACTTACACTAGGCACCCTTAACACTATAGCATTGATCGAAGTTGTTGAATGTTAACATTAATACTAACATTGAAATCAAATAGATAAAAAACTTGGTTGAATTCAACACACATTGCCCTAATAGGTTCATTCTGAGCATAATCGGTCCTCTGAAAGTTAAGCCTGAAGATCTGCCGTTGACGGAGTTGTCTGAGTGTAATACCAAGGTTTATTCGAGAGAGTATGTAAGGAACGTCAATTTCTCCTAACAGCAGCTTCGCAACAAATACTGCTTTCTGTTGGCTTCGCCTGCTTTCCAGAGTTGTCATTCCTAGCAGGCGACAGCGAGTCTCGTACGGTGGTAAATCGTTTGGGTTACTCCAAGGCAGGAACCGGAGCGCGTATCTAACGAATCGTGATTGAACTGCTTCTATCCTTTTTATCCAGACCTCGTGGTGAGGACTCCACACGACAGAAGCAGATTCTAGCCCGGAACGTACAAGGGAGTAGTACAGTGATCGTAAGCAGTACGGGTCGCGAAACTCTTTCGAAATGCGAAAGATGAATCCCAGATTTATGTTAGCCCTAGCGATGATGTTGGAGTAATGATCCCGAAACGTCATTTTGCAATCAAGTTCCACTCCAAGATCCCTGATGCTTGTGACTCTTTCCATTGCTTCTCCACGAATCGTGTATGGCCAGCAGATTGGAGATTTCTTGCGGGTGAAAGATATCACGGCACATTTTTTCTCACTTATAACGAGATGATTCCTGTCACACCAGCCTTCGAAGAGATCAATATACTGTTGAAGCTTCTGGCAGTCTTCTATAGATCGTATTATCAAGAACAATTTTAGATCATCTGCATACAAGATTTTACATCCGTCTGGTAGGAGAGAGCAGACATCGTTGAAAAACAGGGAAAATAACAGTGGTCCAAGATTGCTTCCTTGTGGAACACCTGAGCTGTTGCTGAAAGTGTGCGACTCAAAAGTGCCAAGTTTCACGCAAAGACGACGGTTCACAAGGTAAGATTCCATCCATTTGACAAACCGAGTTTCAACTCCTAAGCGTTCGAGTTTTGCGAGCAGGATTCGGTGATTGACACGATCGAATGCGGCTTTTAAGTCCGTATAAATGGAATCCATTTGATGACCATCGTGCATACTTAGAAGGCAGCTAGATGTGAACTGAATCAAGTTAGTGGCAGTGGATCTCCCTGGAAAAAAAAACCATGTTGATCCGGGGATATGTACATCTTAGCAGCACAAATTAGCATGTTGTACACCAGTACCTCCAACAGCTTCGACTCAACACACAATGATGTTACTCCACGGTAATTTGCGATATCTCTTTTGTCTCCTTTTTTG